ACCACAACCGGGAGATCGGACATCCGAAATGCAAAACAATCCTTACGTTGTGAATGTATTACACATAGCCTTGAAGTAAGCAGATGATTAAAGTGAAAGACAGAGGAGAACGCACCCAACCAAGCACGGAGAACGCCATCCGGAAAATCGTCTTGAGTGACGGCAAGAGCGTCATCTTTGCATGTCTAGGAGAGCTTAGCATGAATAGAGGGATCTGAGCGAACAGACATCTCGTTAGCAAAGGACATGCCATGAACGCGTCGATTCTCTGGCCGGTCGTCGTTAAGTGCTGGCATTAATAACGTTCTCCCGACTGACAGCTGGATCATTTGATGCAGTTTGAATTTAATGGCGCAGATGAAGGCAAGCTACGGCACGAGGTGAGAGCTAAGATACGAGAGTATCAAGCACATCTGGGACTTGCTGACGGACGACGGCAGGTAGGCAAAACGCGGACGGTGGATGATGTTTGACGGTCAGCGTTGACCTCGACTAACCTGCTGTATCTGATGTTCCGCCACTATAGACGTCCTAGCAGAATTGAGTAGTCGCGGTGTGGAATAAACGTGTCAGCAGCACGCATGACATGGCGGGGAATACTGAGAGCGTCACGAAGGCGGACGTACTCGAACCAAGGGTAATGCAATCGAGTTTCGGACCGTTCGAGCTTGGAAGACATAAGACGATCTATTGGTACATAGAGATGAGTTCAGAGTCTTGGACAGGTATATCAGGTAGGAGAGAGTCGATAGGATGTGAAGGATATGTGATGGAGCGATACACGAGGACGACGACATAGCAATATGATAGCGTAAATGGTGGAAGGACTGTAATGCCGTCAGGACAGTCGTCTACGGTTGAAAATATTTGCATACCACTAGTATATTTCAGCCCATCGCGGCGGTTTTGTGAACCCAAAATGCTCCATAACCTCCTGAATCTTCTCCTTCGAAGGCGGTTCAAACTTTCGGCCGGGAACGTGACTACCCAACGCCAAAAGCCAGGCGCTGTAGCGTCCTTGACGCTTGCCATCGTTGGGCTTGGGAGTTCTCTTGACGGCGTATAGTTCTGCTCGAACATCGAGTTCGCCAGCGGGAAGCACGTAGGCCTTTCTGGCAGTTTTCTCAGCGAGCGCCGAGGCTTTCCTTTCGGTATCCTGTAAGCCAAAATTTAGCTCGCGACCACGTTTGAGGAGGTGAGCATCGTTGAGACGGAATCCAAAGACATAACGATCTGGGTTGACTGGCTTTCGCATCATGGTTCTAACACAGCGCGAGTTATCAGAAAGTGTGCCCACTTGAGAAGACGGGATGGGTAGGCGTTGATGATGAGTGATGAAGACAGGTGCGGTGACACGACAGTGATTGTGGTGGTTTGTGGCAGGTCACCTTATAAGCTCCGCGGTTCAGGGCACGATCACATGGCCGCTTTTCCCCACGGGATACCCTTGTTTGCCCATTGTTCTTCTTCTACTTTGACCGCGTACGCGCCAAGCGGTGACTATATGGCACTGCTCATTGATGCGTAAAACTGTCAACGGTAACCGTACAAATTCACGGTGCACCTATAACGGTCTTGCGGTCGGGGTGGCCAAATACGGATTGCATGCTATAAAGGAAGCCTTTCGGGCAATGATTCTATATACGTCTTGAAATACAATGTAGAGCGACTAAGGATCTCTGAGATTATGCAAGTCAATACTATCGTTGTGCACAAAGTCCTTAAATAGGGCCGCATGCTCGTCCTTGTGAATCTGATCGTCCCACTGCTTCGTCTGCACCCTGATACCAACTTCTCTAAGAGCGCGATACGACTCTTCTTCGCTTGTTTCGTAGAACGCGACTGGACCAGTCGTTTCACGCCCTTCAACTGTCGGGGAAGTACCACAACTGTGAGGAACGTCAACGCGGGTAACGGATGATCTGAGCCACCCTTGGGCTTTTTAGAAAGGAATTCTAGGATTGACATGGAATGAATGTGTTGCTTCCTGCGTCTTCGTCACCGAAATGGTTGAGCTGAAGGGTGACGAGTGCTTCTTGAGACGTGAGTATCTTGATAAGCGCTTATCATCGACATGACATTGACGAATGTCACTCCGTTAACAGGCAACCGATCGTGAAGAAATGCCACATTACTTGGACGGGGCCAAAAGTGGTAGGAATCCCCCATATATGATAGAGAACGCAGAGCGGGGAGTGTAAGATGACCGAACACAGCATCGTTTTTGCCCGCCGTCGTGCAAGCAACGTGGAACTTTGATAGACGCGTATGAGTTACGACACGAAGGGTGCCGATAGAAGGAGGGATGAAATGCCAGCGAGTTTGAATGTCTCAAGCAGCGGCGCGCGATCCAGGAGTTCCAATACTTGTACAAGCGGTAGCCATACCAGTACTTCAGATGTGCAAGCTGCGCAGGCGATATCCCTGCAGTTGGCGCATTGATGAACCACTGATCAATATCCACTGCTGTTGTTTCCAACACTTCCACATTCGGTATTGCGGACAAGATTTTTCGCCCGAACACCACGTCGGCAACATCAACCCGAGCCGTATGGACTCCGTCTGCATGGGGAATATCGGCCTTGTCCATGATCAAGCGAATTCAGGAAGGTCTGCAGGTGGATAAGAAATCTTAAGCGATACGGAGTGTGCCCGTGGGAACAAGCGAATGAATGTCTGCAGCGAGGAGACGGTGTAAAAGGGATTGCCATGTTTCCGTAGTAGTGAAGTGGAAGAGAAGGTGCAGAGGCAGTGCAGATGTTCGCTCAATTCTACTTTGCAAGGCTTTCCAGTGAGCATCCCGTTCGTCAGGCAACGCGATACCAAAGGATGGGCGTATGATTCTTCCTCGCCGCCAGAACCAATCAAAGGGATGGTGTCCAGAGCCTCGGATCAGCCAAAGCGGTAGTACGCCATCGACGGCAGACCTGAAGGATAGGTGTGTGGATGCGGTGAGACGCAACGATCTCCTTGAAAACATTTTCCTGCGCAGTCTGGGAAAGGGCGATATAATAAAGGAAAATCTCGCTCAGGACTTCCCCTGGGAGAGCGCGGACTGGGGAGTAGGCAAGGAGGGATTTATGGGTGCAATAGAGGAGCGAAGACGCGTCTGCTCTGCGACTGCGTCGGAAATGAGTCGTTCAACGACTGCCAGCTGGTCCTGCAGGCATTGTCGGCGCGATTCGAGCCCGGGAAGACTTTCATCCAGTGACGAAAGCGCTGTCTCATCCTTCAGTAGTGACTCCGCGATCTTCTCCATAGTTTGGTTGTCACAAAGAAAGTTGGCGGGCACGACGTCCGTAATGCTAGAAGGACTGTTCATCGCGATAGCCTACTATGTTTTAGTAAGAAACGTTAAAAAAAGCGGAAGTCATGGCTTACCTTTTTATCTCGAAGTGGTGATTGTCGTGGTTCTTGGAAGAGAGGCAGAAACAGAAACAGCCTCATTGTCAATCCAGGATCACGTGACAGTGATATAATTCGAAATTCCAAGTAAGCCAATCAATATTCGACCGCCGCTTCCCTCTCCTGCGGCCACAGGCTTTCAAATGTTATCGATGCCCCAGGGATTTTAATGTGGGGACTCGACGACGCTGTTGAGGGCTGGATATACCTGTTAGATTGGGCGCTGTAAACTGGCCTTGATGACGTCGGCAGGACGCCGCAGGAGGGCCTTTTAGCTCTGACAGCCATGTTGTTCTAAGTACTCGCCTCGTCTTGATGACTTTGGGTCGCAATTGTCCGCTCTTGCTGTCTTTACTGGATTACTTTCCCTCCAACGTTGTAGTTGCTTGTACCTTTGTTCTGTCCTCATTACCTGCATAAGCTCTTATTTCACCCGTTCAACAAGCACTACGAGTCATTTCAGACTCTCATGGCCACCTCCATGGCACAGTGGCTATACTGCATCTGGTCGAGGTCTTGTTAGTAATTCTGATTCGTTTTGTCACCATTCTCCGCTCTATCAATCTCGTCTAGCAGCCGTGCCCCGCTTCCTCATTCTTGGAGGGGGCCCCGAGCGTCCCCACAATGACTCGAACGAAACTGCCTTGACGACTCGGATCATCATGCCACACCAAGTCCGACCAACCCTTTCTCCTGCTAGTGGACAGCGCCCGCTTCTCGAAGAGAAGTAAATCTGTTCGGTTCTCTCGGCGCACTGATGGTAAAGGGGTCAGTCTACTGCCGCCATAATGTTGTGCGGAGTTGTGTTTTTTTCGGGTTGTTTTGCAGCTCCTCCGCCAGGAATACATTCACCTCGTCACTCCGATTCTGCACTTCGCAAAGTTATGTACGACATACGATTTGAAGAAAAAACCGCTACCTTCGTCGTCCGTCCACTCCGAGCCACCACTGCGCGCCAATACATCCTATCACCACAGCGGTCGATGTGGTCTTCATCCTCTGACGCGTCACTTTTTTCGAGACCCTTGACAGATTTCCCGCTCTGAAATGGAGGCTATCGCTCTCACCTTCAAAATAATGCAACGAGCTTCATGTTTTTACATCCTTCCGCGGACCCGCAGTAACGGTCAAGCGACTTTGATATAGTATCGCAAAAGGACTTACGACGACCCGACCACATTGATACAGCGGCTATCCCGCGTTTGATGTAGTCCGTACCTTTTCCCTACGACATAGTCACCCCCTCCACCTATGCCATATCTCGAACTACACGCTCGCTCCCCGCTGTGGCCTTGCCACTCTCAGCCTGACCAGGCTTGGGCGTTGAACAGTGTCCCGCAGAATCAAACAGGGGTGTTTTTAACCTGCCTACTTCAAGCGCTGATATTCAAGCTGGTGATATAACAACGACTCACCAATGGCGCAGCGGTCGTCCCGCCCCGGTTTGATGCAAGCACTGCGACAATGTGATTTTTTTTTTGAAACACTTGAACTTGTAAGCGAATTGCTCCTCCATCTACACCGTTTCGCACACTTGGATTGATCCGCGCTGTAGACTTGCCTTACTACGTGTTGCACTAGGACGGCCTCCTTCAACACTGACGGTGAAGTGGTATCATGCTTGCTAGTTATCTTCCGTGAACATTTGGCATGAGCGATTCAGACAAGCGGCAGAGGTTCGACTCCTCTTCAGTGTACTACATAGGACCGTGACACCATTGTTTTGCTTACCACCATGTATCACAACTCAAGCTATGTGCGATGTACTACTTATCGTCACGCCACACCATCCCCTTTCCGTCTAGTCCTTAAGTTCATAAATCCATTTAGGCCATTTCGACGTGAAGTACAGTAGTTTGGTTTGTGTCGTATGCAACCCTTCTCCATAAGCCCTCCGACTTCAAGTCTCATCACGGCACCGATGGCGCACTTGTTATCCCGCCCCGGCTTCGTATTCCCACTGGTCCTATGTTTCCTTTTTGCATCGCCACACGCGCAGTGGCATTGTACACGGACGATGGTCCGGAAGGTGAGTATCCGAGTCCGACCGTTGCGGTCCGTCACTCACTTGTCTTTTTCGTCCTCAGTTCGTACCGTAACCTCAAACTTCCTGGGTAACATCTCACCCCGAAACCGCCGTGGTAGCCAGCATACCACTTCTGTCCATGGCACTCACCCATCGCCACACCAGTGGTACAGCGGCTATCCTGCTTCTGGTTGTGGTCGTGTCCTTATCGTTAATTCGAGGATTTTTATCACATCTGGGACCTCGGGGCCTATTTTTCCTCTGCGCACTTGTTCACAACTTGGCGACGTCGCGCCCCCTGGAATCTCTGAATGAAAATGAAACCGACCGTTCTACCACTGCGCCGATAGTCAAGCGGCTTTCGTGTAGTCTACTCTGTCAAGAGATATGTCTTTTTCCAAATGAAGTTGGCCAGAAATACTACGGGTTCAGACCATTGGCATCAGTCCTGTACACTGATGGTCAAGTGGTCAAGGGACTTGACTTCCGTTTGGTGTATTGTGCCACTGTTCGGAGTTCACAGTTTTGTCCTCAGGCTTAAATCGCAAGTACCTGAATTGACCAAGGGCATCTTTCTCCTCCTGCTCTCCCGTCCGCGCGTTATCCTCATCCGCGCCCCTCTGCACGTCAATGAAAGCGCACGTTTCGTCCATCCCACCGCTACACCAATGGTAAAGTCCTCATGTCCATTTATGCCGTACCTCGTACTTGGATACTTCTGAGAGAACCGCGCGCTCCGCCGCTGTGAACTGGCAGTCATTATTGCTCTCCTCTATACCTTAATCACGCCTACATTACCGCGCACAACCGCACCCCATCACCACAGCAATGGTACAGCGGCTTATGTGGTCTTCCGCCTCCAGAAAAAAGTTTTAGAGACCCGCGACACATCAGCTTTGAAATGGAGGCTATCGCTCTCACCTTTGAGTTTTTCCTTCCCCGGGCTCGCACTAACGGTCCAGCGCCTTTGATATAAAGTACCCCAAAAGGTATCCGCCACCATCGATACATCGGTTATCCCGCCTTTCGTGTGATCCTCAACGCTTTTCCCTAAGACACAGTCAAAATTTCTGGCACATAGACCTACTCTCTTCGCCTTTCGTAGCTGTTGACGTTGTCGTACTCATCGCCGCTCTCGTTACCACACCGGATGGTAAAGCAGTTATGCGAGCTCTGGTTTCATCCGCCAGAAAGGGATACTTTTTGAGACCGCCACGCAAAAACCTGCTCTCAAATCAGTATCCAACCACAATCACCGCGCTTTTGAATTATCAGAGCACGCATATCCAGTACCGGAAACCAGAGTTCAACGCGAGCACGTCAACTTATCAATTATCAAGCAAAGCTTCGTACCGTACCATACTCAGATATAAAGAAAAATCAAACGAGCGTCCTTGAAAGCTGACATCACGGCGCGCCACTACTACCTTCTGCCGCTGTCCCCCTGCGCATCAACTCCTCCGCCTCTTGCATCCCGCGGACATCACCGATGCCCTCTACTGTCGGCGCGCGCTTGTGCGTCGGCCTCGTCGCCTGCGGCCCCGGAGGTGAAGGCGGCGGGGGCGGCGCGTCCTCGTCATAGTCGTCTTCCAAAAACTCGGCGATGGAGGGCCCATCGTCGATGCTCAGCCGGATGGGGCCATCGGTGGGGTTGAGCGATTTGAGTCTGGGGGGTGGGCATGTGAGTGGAACGTGTATAGCGATAAAAGCCCCGAAATCCAGCAGAAAGACGGAAATTCAATCGCGAAGCCAGCCCACTCAAAGAAGAAAGGCAAGCGTAACAAGAACACTTACCCAACGCCAACGACCCTTCGTACGGCACTTGCGCGGCGCCATAGTATAAAGACCACGCAGCAGAATATCAGCGACAGGAGGAGGATTGACGGGACGTGTCCGATGGGCTGGGGCTTCGGGGAGGGCGTGGGCTCTATGTGTGGGTGTTAGCGAAGAGGATGGCAGACGCGATGGGCGCGCCACCAGGAGTACAGCGCACCTCCCGGAGCAGTAGCTATCGCTGGCATATCTTTATATCCCCGTGTCTGTGCCGTTCTCCCGTTCGCTGAAAGTTGTAATGGTTGGTGTCGTAGGGGCACTGCTTATTCTTCGTTGGTTCGTGTCCAGCACCAAAAATACACGGGAATGGTAGTGATCGTTTCTGACAAAGTCTTTGTCTCGGAGTCGTCGGTGTTCCCACAACGATCGTCGGCCCGATCGCCGGTGTTTCGATCGTGCCTCAACAAAAAGCAAAAAAAATTACAGCGCGACTGCCGTACATACACCGAAGGGGAGTCGAACCCCTGCCGCTTGCTCCAACTCAGTATCTCTTCGCATGATATGGAAGGCAAGCATGATAACCGCTTCACCATCGGTGTATGACTCAGCGCCACACTCTATCTTTCTATGCTCTCTGATAGTGTATTGGTCAGTGCATGTGCCTTACATGGGGATTGATGCATATGACCTGTGAGTATGTGGCCGTTACGCGCGAAAGCTGGATTCAACTCCCAGTCAAACAGGTGCCTACGGTCAACAACATCATTTTCTTCTGAACCCGAAGGTGTTTTAGCCCTTTCAGGCAAAGTTAAAACTCAAGCAAGTCTCTTCATTCCAGGGTTCTGCTATGCAATCACTGTATAAGTAATGAAGACAGCCTCCAGGAAATTTGTAAAATCTCTGATAGTATATCGGTCAGTACACGCGCCTGTCAGGTGAACTAGGATATAGTCTACTGCGCGCTAAAGCTGGGTTCGACTCCTAGTCAGAGAGTCACGTGTCGCAAAAAGTCATATTTTTTCCTAAGAAATGAATTGTGGGGTTACCAGTTTATCAAGTTCGTGACTCCCAGTTGGAATGCAACACTAGTGAATGAGTATCACTTGTCAGACTTCAAACTAAGCAAACCACTTCTGATATGTACTTGAGATTTCGTGAAGCCCTGCGTGTATGAATTGTACGCACAGGTGGCGTACGTCGCCGTGGTGTCATGTTGCAGCTCGTTGCCAACATCGCTGCAGAAACATTTCCTTGATGTGGCGATGAACATGGTTGAGACCCGAATATGAGCTTTCTGCACGCCACGCTGCTTTAAATTTTGAAGCGGTGAGCACAATCCTCAGGCTTATTTTGAGATACACAGGCATAATAAACTCTCCTGGCCCTGGTTCTCAATTTTAGTGGATGTAGTGCAAAGAGCCCCGACTTGCTGCCGCCCTTTTCCTTACCGCATGCGCTAAATTAACGTCAATCTGCCACGTTATTCAGCGCCACGAGCATGGAGTGAAAGCCTGCCTAACGAAGGCTTTGACCTCCATTCAATCCACTCTAGATCTTCAGAGCTCCTTGGGCGCTCGAAGCCGTTGTGAACTTTGAGCAACCGGCTCACTGACAGCCATTTCGCTTTCTTGCTACAATGCGGAGTGTCTGGAGGTTCTTCCTATTCGTGGATACCGGGCCAGCCGGCCACGGTTGGTGGAAGCAGAAGCCTAGGCGACGTCTACGGTCTGGGTCAATTTGGGACGCTGCGTGGCTCGTGGAGGCGTAGGAGATGGTGTGCCGCTAGACTGACACACCGCACAGATAATAAGCTCGTGCCCCGTTAGTGGACGCCGACTCCGACAGCAATTCAGACTACATCCGTAGTGTTCCTCTATTGGCTATGGACTGAAATCAATTTACTTTTGGACCACCCCTTTTTTTCTTGTTCTCTCTCTCTCCTCTCGTAGCGAGGGCGACCGACTATAGGTCGGTATTCGAGAAGTATGTTCTCTGAACCGGTGGCCAGAGGTCCGTTGGGACCTTCTTAAATGCGGAGATATCCCCGCGGTTGCTCAGTCACTGGGTGGAAATCGGGTCTCGCCCGCCATAACATTTCCACAAACAGCCGTTCCTCATGGGGACCTTGTGCCGACTCTACCTACCTACCTACCTACCATGGAATCAGAACAGAGCGCACAGTTTCGGGAGTAATGACCTACCACGCCACACAACCACATCAACCGCTCACCTCACTTGAGCAAGCTCAGAGTCGACGTTGGTGCGCATATTCTGACCATCATCTCGCATTATGAATCACGTCGCTCAGGGCGACTCCGAAGAAATCTTATGGCGCTTTTATCATGCCATACGAAGAACGACAACGCGCAGTATGCAAACTTGCAAGATGTCTTCCTATATGCATATGATAAAGCAACATCAAGAGGGTATCAAAAGTATTGTTTCTTGTTACCAGTACTGGACTTCCAGCCTTTACCGCGGGAGATTGAACACGATGCTTCATCCTCTTTCTTCTCCTCTTCTGGCGCTGGCTTTGGGGAAGCTGTCCACGCCGACATTGCCACCTTCGGTGAAGCTTGTTGCGGCGACACAGTGTCCCACGATGCAGGCATGGGTTCCGGAACACCCACAGAGATGGCAAGAGGGGACCGATCTGATGGGCTGCAGGGATAGAATCTTCTCTCAGCCTCACCCGAGGGTCCGAGACGAGAAAGAAGACTATTAATCGCCAACGCGCATGAGGGTAATCGCCGGAAAGACATTCGCGATGGAGAGGCTTCGCTGGGATTCGCTCTCCCTCCAATGATCCAGGCAAAGTCAGTTCGACCTCAAGAATCTCGGGATGTCTAACATTGCGCTGTCAGAATACGAGCGGTAGCTGGGGGCTGTGTGAACTTACTGCCACGTAAATTTTGAGAATAGCTCGCTGTATATATTGTCGGCTGTTAACCTCTGACGAAGAGCATCAAGGCATATCTGTTTGAGGGCTGGTAAATCGATCTACGAAGGATCTGAGTGTTGTGATCAAACAACTAGATGTCGACGAACCATGTTGGCAAGTCGATACATTGACTTTGGCGAGCTCAGATCACTCGCTGTACCCTTCCCTTTTCCCGCATTTTGAGTGGACTTGAGGGGGGCTAGAGCAATCTCCTGGGTGTATAGATACGTTAAAAGGCCCTTGAACCTGCATCGCGTTTAGCGCGTTCTCGACGGTGAGAGGAAAAGGACAGACGTTTTGTAGGCAATGTTCTTCGGTTGGCAGATGCGACCCATGCGCCGAGTGACAGTTCTTTTGGGCAATGTAAGCTCTTGATCGTCGACAGGGCTACGAAGAGTTCTACAGTCATCACAAGGATTAGGGAACATGGCACGACACTCACCTGCTCGCTGATGATTTGGCTTCACCTGCGGCTCTCCATCCTCCAATTCTTCAAGATCGCTATCTTCGTGGTAGTCGTATTCGCTGTCTCCGGAGCTTGCTACTTCCCATTCACCGTCAAGGTCTACATCTGCGATTCCGAAAAACCATCGCCTAGAACCACTACAACCAGGTCATGCCATGCGTGCATAGAAAGAGACGAACTCACAGCTATCCAAAAACTCGCATACTTGCTGTAAAACCGTGCGACTCCCATAGATCGGCTTCGGCCGACACACAATGCCATCCCGCGTCACCGCCGTGAAGAGGTAAAACTTGACGTCCACAAATTCGCCTGATTCGATCGTCCGCGTCAGAGCGTCCTTTACTCGTTCGTTGAATGCGATAGAAGACTGTGGAGCTTTGAAAGGAGAACCATCAGGGAACGACACCGAGAAGGTGAACGTGACCCTCTGAACGCCCTCCAAGCGGGCGGAGCACGTCCCTATGCGATCATGGACGCTGTTTCCAGCGCGCAATGAGGGGGAGCAGAATCCTAAGGTTACGGTTCGAGTGTAGGTCGGGTTAAACATCATAGCCGCTGTACACCCGACACGCAATCCTGTACGCATGACACCAGAGGCGTTTCCCGTTGGCGGCGTAAAGCAGAATGATGCCACGAAACTTGCCTCCTGGCAGTCGGAAGGCTCGAGATTGACTGCGATCTCGAAGTGCCAGCCAAATCCACAAGAGTCCGTGCGTAGCGCAACGGTGGGAACCAGTGGCTCCAGACGAATGTCGATGTAACTTTATCTGTCGTCCATGCGTCTGGGATTGACTTTGCGAGTATGGGCTGTGGCTTGGACGTGGAGGACGACATTGTGGTTAATCGTCAAGGTCCTGGGAATTGAAAGTCGTGCCGGCAGGTGGCTGATGTTTACGATAATTATAGGAAGGGAACACTCGCTCCACGAAGTGCATACGTACACGCTACAAAGCACAGCTGGTTCTGGCCACACCAGACGCGGTGCAATTTCCCATTCAAGATCTGTCTTGCCAGATTACGCCTCCTGCTGAAGTACCCATGGGGTGGTTGACACTTGATCAAGAACAGGCAAGTAGGCACACTAAAACGAGGCGGAACGTTATTCGAGAAGGTGATCAGAAGGGAAAATGTCGCGTACGTGTTGCGGTAGCCATAACCTTCAAGTTAAAGCGTCAGTTAGAGATACACGAGCTCCACTATTACGGATCCTGAGGATGCTGGACTGATGCAAAAGGACGTGATACGACATTTACTGGCCAAAGAAAATGCGGCTGGTACATATGCAGCAGTGCTATAAGCTAGGTCACCGGTAAAACATTGGACTATAGATGCTTACATGCTTTAACGGTCCTATCAGCGCTAGCAAGGAGGAAATGATTAGAGCATGAAGGTGTACTGTCCGTTGGTTTGGTTGCTTCACGAAGATGTGTCCTGCTAAAGGTTTTTGAGCGACGTCGGTACCCTGTTCAGCTACGAGAAGGTGCGTACCAGACCGAGACGAAAGCTAACCTAGAAGGCGAATAACGGAAAAACTTCGCGTACGTGTTGCAGTATCCGTTTTTGCTATCCGCTTCAAATGTTCACGACTTTGCTATAGGTCCAACATGAGATATGAAATCATCTCCACACAAGCAATCTCCTACAGAAGCAGAAGCTGATCTCGCGAACGTCAAGAACGTCTCTGGTCAACCGTCAGGGCAAACAAACCCCGTACCCCATACCGCCGGCATCTCGGCACCCCTTTCTATTAACCTCCACCTTTGGTCGGCTGATATTGACGACCCGCACACCCAGATTGTATTATAACGTACGCTGACACCGCTGGTGTCGACATGATATCTATCAGGATCACTGAAACTACCGTCCGCCCATCGCCATGCTTTTCGGGACCTTGTGGGCGCGCGCCTCCCACCACGACCTGCACGAGGCTGCGCCGCCCATCCACGCGCGCAGTTCCCTATCCAAAAAATTTCGCTCGTCGAGCAGAGCGGTGCCCATCCGCGCTATGCCGATGAGGAAGGGCCTATTTGTTATGGGTAAGTAGTAGCTTAGACTGAGACCTGTTCATACACGAATCACGTCGCGTCCCAGGGATGTCTATGCTCGTGTACAGCGGCGCCCTGAGCCACTCCCTGGATTTCTACCAAACGCTCACGTTCCTGCGCTGCTTGCGACACGCGAAACGCGTAGACGCAGAGCAGTACGCGCACACGGACTTTGCGGACTTTCAGAGGACCCTGGCGTACTTTGCAAAGGTTAGCGTGGCCGTGTATTTGCGCGTGCGGGCGTGGTTTCCGATTCCGGGGATGCAGACGAGTGAGGATGTTGCGGGGCACTTTTTGGCGATATCGAGGCTGGAGGGCGATGCGCAGCGGAAGGCGCATGGGATTTTGCACAGGGCGTGTAAGGATGTGCATAGGATGGTTAAGGATTTTGATGAGGATATCAGGGAGCCTGGAAGGTGGGAGGACGACGCGAGCCAGTTGGTGTTTTTCTTGGTGGAGCTTATTGGGGATAAGTTGCTCGCGGAGTTGATACACGCGCCTTTGAGTACGGCGTTGCATCAGGAGCATGTCGCGATTGCAG